TTGTTTGGAAGGAGAATCCCCCTCCATGAGGACTTCTGGTATCAAAGCCCTCTCTGGGTTTGCTTCCCTTCTCTGTATTTTAATGCCACTAGGACCAGCTTGAGAGTCATTGGACCCCAGTCTCACAAAATAACTGTCTACAGTCCTCTGTTTCTGTCTCACAAAATAACTATCCACAGTCGTCTGTTTCTGTCTCAAAATAACTGTCCACAATCGTCTGTTTGTCTCACAAAATAACTCCACAGTTGTCTGTTTCTGTCTCACAAAATAACTCCACAGTCGTCTGTTTGTCTCCCAAAATAACTGTCCACAATCGTCTGTTTGTCTCACAAAATAACTCCACAGTTGTGTTTCTGTCTCACAAAATAACTCCACAGTCGTCTGTTTCTGTCTCACAAAATAATTCCACAGTCGTCTGTTTCTGTCTCACAAAATAACTCCACAGTCATCTGTTTCTGTCTCACAAAATAACTGTCCACAATCGTCTGTCTCACAAAATAACTCCACAGTTGTCTGTTTCTGTCTCACAAAATAACTCCACAGATGTCTGTTTCTGTCTCACGAAATAACTGTCCACAGTTGTCTGTTTGTCTCAAAATAACTGTCCACAGTCGTCTGTTTCTGTCTCACAAAATAACTGTCCACAGTCGTCTGTTTCTGTCTCACAAAATAACTGTCCACAGTCGTCTGTTTCTGTCTCGCAAAATAACTGTCCACAGTCCTCTGTACATCCTGGCAAGCTCAACAAGTTTCACTCCAATCTCATACTTCTGTATTACAGTGGACCCCACCTTAATGATCACCTCCCAATGCGACCAATTATGTAAGTGTATTTATGTAAGTGCATTTGTACGTGCATGTTTGGGGGTCTGAAATGGACTAATCTACTTCACAATATTCTTTATGGGAACAAATTCAGTCAGTACTGGCACCTGAACATACTTCTGGAATGAAAAAATGTCGTTAACCGGGGTCCACTGTATTTCCTTCTTCACATCTATGGTGTTTCTCACTTTCTTTACCACAGGGGTACCGCTAGCAAGTTTCTTTGGGCCCATGGCAGCTTATTTCACAGCCCCACAAGCACTAAACACAATTAAATAATCGTAAAATGTGTGAATGAGATCGCAGGTTAGTGTTCACTCAAGCATAAACAAAGCTAGACTGCTCACGGCGCCTGCGGGGGAACGCGGACAGAGCGGGCTAGCGGATAGGTCCCGTACCCAGCGGTCCGAAAATAGGGGCGCGTTCGATAATAGGGACACAGTTTGTCCAAAGAAATGGTCTTATTTTCGATACGTTCGATACGTTCGATTTTTGAGGTTCCACTGTACCTATCACTGTACATAGTGTATATAGTGTACATACTTCTGTTCTAAATTGGTGAGGGATAATACAAGTCAAAAGTTTTCTGCTGTGTTTATTTTGCTCCCTTTACACCCAGGATAACAGGCCATTTGGACTCCTGGGTTGTAATATGGGTAGCCTGTCCGAGAGCTGGAGCTGGACTTAGAGAAAGGTTCGAGCCTAGGGTGAAGCTGGAAGCAGGAACATTGTGTAGCTTGCTGTCTGGCATTGCATTAGCTTTACCAACGCTTTACAAACTTTGCGTGTCAGTTGCTTTGCTATGGACAGCCTTGCTATTGTGTGATCGTTCAACAGCTCGCTACTAGCTTGTTCAGTGTGCTCGCTTCGCTACGGTCAATCTTGTGGAACAGTGTAGCTTGCTGTCTGGCACTGCATTCAGCTTTGCCAACGCTTTACAAATTTTGCATGTCAGTTGCTTTGCTATGGTCAGCCTTGCTATTGTGTGATCGTTCAACAGCTCGCTACTAGCCTGTTCGGTGTGAAGATTTTGCAGTCGGCTTTGCTATTGTGTATCCACCTTGTATGCATATTCTGCAATCGTACTGTGCATAGCTAAGCGTGTTCTGCAAATAATGTATTACATTGGGGTATTCTGCAATCGTACTGTGCATAGCTAAGCGTGTTCTGCAAATAATGTATTACATTGGGGTATTCTGCAATCGTACTGTGCATAGCAAATAACTTATACATTGTGGTATGCCACCTAGACGAGTCAGACGTCTGGTGTTGGCATATACTTTGTTTAACCTACCTAAATTGTCCCTACAGCGTTGTTGGCAAATTGCTCATTCCATTGGCATTGATTACGAGCACACACTCGCAGCTGCGCAACTGCGTTCACTGATCACTGACAAACTTCGAGAAGAAGAGATGGCACATCAGACTCCTCCCTCTACGGGAGCTAGGGAAAAAACTCCTATGTTCTCGCAGGAGGAAGATGATATATCAACGGAGCAAAATCGTCAGTCTAGTGCAGCAGGGTTGTCTCAAGCTGAATCAGCGGCGTTGGCACTTGAGCTGGCAAAAATCAATCTTGAGCAGACTAGGGAACAGAGAGCATTTGCAAAAGAAGAATCTGATAGGGAAAAAGAAAGGAGGTAGTTTTCGCATTCTGTAAATGACTTTAGTTTACAGAAAGCAGTACATCTTGTTCCCCGCTTCAATGAGGCCGAATCAGAACAATTTTTCAAAGCTTTCGAAAATCAGGCTCGAGCCTTGAGGTGGCCAGAACAGCATTGGGCATCGTTGGTTCACACAGCATTGTTTGGTAAGGCACAGGAATTTATGTCAGTGTTAAATGACACTGAATTTTCTGATTATAAAGTTGTGAAGACCAGTGTTGGGAGCATATACTTGTATCCCAGCTAAGTATCTTAAGGTTTTTTAAGTTAGGCAGACGACAGCTTGGTCAATCCCTGGTTAATTTTGTGCGACAGCAGACCAAAGCTTTTACCAGCTGGTATAAAGCAAGTGGTGTTGCTACCTTTGATGATCTTGTGCAACTTATTCTGATTGACAACCTGCCGGAGTCTGTGGGAGTAGAGGTTCGAGTCTTTCTGCAGGATCGTGACTTAACCACTGCATTGGAGGCAGCCAGGTTGGCTGATACCTTTGAAACTAACCGCTCCTTGTCCAAGCGGTCCTATGTCTCTTTTCAACAGCCTGGCATGAGCAGAGATCGTCAACCTTGGAGAATGAAGTGCCAGCCGGAGGGAGAATGTCTACATCAGCCAACTAAGTCACCTGGTGAGCCACGCTTCTCAACTTATGGTCCACATGCTGAGAGACAAACTACTCAACATGGTGCAACTCGACAACAGTATCCAGAGAGACACCAGCCAGAGCGACACCAGTTGCAACATCAGCAGGGAGTTAAAGGCAAACCTGTCGTCTGCTACATGTGTAACAAAGTAGGTCACATCCGTCCCAACTGCCCCCACAAACCCCAACCCATTGGGAAAATCTCTAATATCCCTAGTAACATGTCCCTGAGAGAAGTAGAAAAAGGGATGGCCCCCCTTATTATTGTAAGAGTCTTATTTCCCTTCAGGAAAACTCCGAAACAACTGAAGTCAAAACCTTTAGAGATACTGGAGCATATTGCTCACTTATAAAAGAGGGAATATTACCCCTTTCAAAGAACACTTCCTTGAATTCCTCTGTTTTATTGGAAGCATTTGGAGGAGCTATATATTCTGTCCCTTTGCATAAAATTTATGTACAGTGCAAATATTACACTGGGTACTTGACTGTGGGCATATCCGAAGGATTCCCCATGAAAGATGCCATGTTATTACTGGGTAATAACATTACCACTGCTAGTGTATGTCCTTAACCCATAATGATTAATTCTTCCCCGGTGGTGGCCATAACTCGAGCAACATCCCAAGGGTTGTCTGGCGAGAATGTTGACCTATCCTTGGACGACTCCGATCTCGGAATAGCCACATTGTTTTATGAGGAAAACTGGCCAGAGCCTCGTAGATCACGTGAACAGACCCAGATCAAACCTTCCTATTCCAGGGTTGCAGGATTGCCAGATATCTCTGTTTCCATGCCTGAGGGACTGTCCTTCCGGGAGGAACAACGAAAGGACCATTCTTTAAATTTCGCTTTTCGGGCAGCCATGGGTAAATCCTCTTTGGATCATCCGGTCAAGTATGAACTTAAAAACGACTATTTGATCTGCACTGAGACTGGTAAGGAGATAGAGGGCTGGCAATTGTCTGACAGGTTAGTAGTTCCAACAAAGTTTAGGCCTCAAATATTGAATATAGCTCATAATACTTCATTAGGAGGTCACTTAGGAATTACTAAAACCTTGTATAGAATCACAAAAGAATTTTATTGGCCAAAATTAAAGCAGGATGTGAAGAATCATATCCGGTGTTGCCGAGAATGTCAGCAAGTAGGGAAACCTGGACATTCCATTAAACCTGCACCTCTTCAACCTATACCTGCTGATGGAGAACCTTTTGCAGATTTAATTATAGATTGTGTAGGTCCACTACCTAGGTCAATGTCGGGAAATCAGTATTTATTTACCAGTATGGATAGAGTAACTAGATACCCTGAAGCAATTCCCATGCGCAGTATTAATACTAAAGCTATTCTCAAAGCTTTAACAAGATTTATTTCTTGTTTTGGCATTCCTAAAACTATTCATAGTGATCAAGGTACTAACTTCACTGCCAAAGCATTTAGGGAAGCATTAACTAGGTTAGGGATAATCCACAACTTATCCACTGCCTATCATCCTCAGTCCCAAGGTGCCTTGGAAAGATTCCATCAGACGTTAAAAACTATGATGAGAACTTTTTGCATGCATTTTCCTACAGACTGGGATGAATCATTACCTTTGTTGCTGTTCTCAGTACAAGAAACGGTGCAAGAGTCTACCGGGTTTAGTCCGTTTGAGCTGATCTTTGGTCACAATGTACGAGGTCCTCTTCGGGTGCTCAAAGAAGGATGGATGGGAGAAGACGTTAGCTCAACACTCTACAACCCGTCTTCAAGGTTGCAGGTGACACGTCAGTTAGCCAAGGCTAACCTAAAGGCAGCTCAAAATAAGATGAAACAGAGGTATGACAGAAATGCACAATTCCGCTCCTTCCATCCTGGAGACAAGGTGTTGGTGAAGGAACCTATACCTGGCCACACCTTGAAAGCTAGATTTACGGGACCTATGCAAATTGTAAGTAAATCATCTGATGTAAATTATGTGGTATCTCCCCTTGATAAGACCTCAAAAAACTAAAAACTTACCACATTAATCAATTAAAATCTTTTCATACACCAGATAAAGTCCCAGTAATGACTCTGTCCTCTTCCTCTGAGGATGACTCTGACTCTTTGCACTCTATTTCTGAAATTAATGTTAAACTTCCAAACTCTGTCCTCCTCAAGGACCCTAGCCCTTTAATGGTGGGGCTGTCTGAAACTCAAGCAACAAGTTTAACTGCGCTTCTACAGTCATACCCTGATATTTTTTCGGATGTGCCGAAAAAATGTACATTAGGTTATCATGATGTAGATGTGGGAAACTCTAAACCTATTAAATTCTCCCCCTACAGAGCTAATCCTGAAAAGCAGAGACTACTTCAGCAGGAAGTAGAATTTCTGTTAGAGCATGGTTTAGTGGAGGAGGAGTCTAGTCCATGGGCTTCACCATGCATCCTTGTTAAAAAAAGCTGATGGAGGGTTTCGTATGTGTACAGACTACCGTAAGGTGAATGAGGTCACACAGATGCTTACCCTCTTCCTCGTCTGGATGACGTAATCGACTTTGTGGGTAAGGCTACTTTTGTATCCAAGTTAGATCTCCTTAAAGGTTACTATCAGGTACCTTTGACGGATAAGGCGAAGGAAATCTCTGCCTTCGTAATTCCAGGAGGTCATTATCAATATACAGTGGACCCCCGCATAACGATTACCTCCGAATGCGACCAATTATGTAAGTGTATTTATGTAAGTGCATTTGTATGTGTATGTTTGGGGGTCTGAAATGGACTAATCTATTTCACAATATTTCTTATGGGAACAAATTCGGTCAGTACTGGCACCTGAACATACTTCTGGAGTGAAAAAATATCGTTAACCGGGGGTCCACTGTACAGTTACCCCCTTTGGAATGAAAAACTCCCCCTCTTCATTCCAGAAACTTATCCATCAGGCTATTAAAGGACTTGAGGGCACGGCAGCATACCTGGATGATATTGTTGTGGTGTCTGTTACTTGGGATCAACAATTATTTAGGCTTAAGGCTCTTTTTGAGACCTTTCCGAGTTCCCATTTAACTGTTAATTTATGTAAGTCTTCCTTAGGCCAGGCCACTGTTACTTTTCTAGGCCATGAAGTAGGTAGTGGTAAAGTTGCTCCTAAACTTGCTAAAGTTCTTGCCATTAAAGATTATTCAGTTCCACATGATAGGAAATCTCTTCAACGTTTCCTAGGCATGATAGGATTTTACAGAAGATTCTGTAAGAATTTCTCAGATATTGTAGCCCCTCTTACCTCTCTTACCAGTCACAAAGTTCCCTTTATTTGGACTTCAGTTTCTCAAGATGCTTTTGACAAAGCAATAAGATTATTGTGTATTGCACCCATTCTTTTGTCTCCAGACTTATCCAAACCTTTCTCATTACAGGTTGATGCTTGTGAGTCTGGGGTTGGGGCAGTACTGTTGCAAAACGGGGCCAAGGAGTTGCAGCCTGTAGCCTTTTTTTCAGCCAAGTTCCAGCAGCATCAGAGGGCTTACTCTACCATTGAAAAAGAAGCCCTCGCGCTGGTACTGGCTCTGGAGCACTTTGATGTATACGTGGGACAAACTTCGCAGGTGCTCACTGTCTACAGTGATCACAGTTCTCTAGTATATCTCCAAACCATGAAGAACCACAACACAAGGCTCATGTGATGGACGATAAGACTGCAACCATATTTTCTGAGAATTGTACATATTGCCGGCAAAGAAAATATGTTGGCAGACTCTTTATCAAGAGTTGAACAATATTATTTATAATAATTATATATTAGGTTAGGATGTGTTAGGTTACTTGTGGTAACCCCTTCCAAGCTCTTTTTTTTTTTATCCCCTGGTGTGGGTTTTTTTTTTTACTGAGGGGATGTGGGCTACCGTCCTCCCATGTCTTGGACCTAAGCTAGCCCGACTGTCTGCTGTCTCGCTCTGAGTTTAGGGTTTGGCTTTTTATCACGAGAAAAGCCGAGCTCTATCTAAGAGTTGGATGGTTGAGAGGAAAGGCGGTCCCATTATTTTGTGCCATGGCGGCACGGTTACCACTGGGAGGTGGGAGCCTAATCCTGAGCCTTCTCGGGATGGAGGTGTGGCATGCAAAGAGTACATAACCTTTATTCGGCACATGTACACACCCTCATTTACAGGCTATCTCCCCCAACCAGTGAACCAGGTGACTGAGGGTTGACGATGGGGCCCCATCGTTCAACCAGTACCCAGGTTCCAGCCAATGAGAAGATGGTTTTGGCAATTGCAGAGGTTATGTGGGTACCACTCTCCTGTCTGCCCTTGTCATTCCCATTCTAGAGCTGGTTGAAGCACGGTCTGCTCTCTAGTGGCTTCTATTCTGCCTTGCTTACCGTGGAGCGCACTAATACCTATCACTGTACATAGTGTACATACTTCTGTTCTAAATTGGTGAAGGATAATACAAGTCAAAAGTTTTCTGCTGTGTTTATTTTGCTCCCTTTACACCCAGGATAACAGGCCATTTGGACTCCTGGGTTGTAATAAACCTCAACTTCTTATCATTTCAACATAGAAGCAAAAGTTCACCCAAAAACAGCTAAAAGTTCCTTGATGATTGACATACTGTCTACTTTTCAATCTCCCACTGGTGACAAGGGGCAGTTTGAATTTTTCAAATCAATATTTGATAATTTTTTTTTTTTTGTTTTCAAAAAATTTCAGGAACATTTTAATCTCAACAAACAATATATTCACCAATGCTTTACTGAAGAGGCTTTGAAGATTTAGAAGCTGGTTTTAGCTTTCTCAGATTCATTTTTTTTTTTTGGCAAAATATCCAAGAATCACACCCTGAGCTAGCAATAGCAGAAGTCAGACTTATTCCAGCTATCTCTACCCCTCTACTGAAGTTAGAAGAATATAATTCATGCCAATAAACAGTACATTCATATGCAAGTGCAACACTTATAAATCATGCTTATGAAGTGAGAAGTTGAAGGAAAACCCAAAAAATTTATGGACAGTTTATATGATAATGGAAAGACTACACAAAATAAATACACAATTCAGCAGGCATGTGCGTGCAAGGTAGATCAGAGTGGAGAAGAGTGAGTTTAGGGATTTAACCTGCTACCTGAGTGTATAGTATCCACTATGAAGAGATTCATCTTGTTACCCAAACTTGAATTTTGGAGGTAGGGTAGTACAGTGGCAGCATCCTCAAAGCATGGGTGGGGATGTCGCTGTTTGGTGGGTCATTTTAATTGTGATAACTGTACATTTAAATGGTGAAAAAAAACACAATGTTGCAAAGGAAACCTTTTTCACTACTACACCAATCTGCCCAGGACTGGACTGTATCAAGCATACAATAAAAACATGGACACATCGCCTTATAAGGCTAATAAGCACCCTGAGGTCAAATCAAGAGAGTTCACAGGAAATTAAAGGTGGGGTAAAGGGAAAAGTCCAGAGGTTAGATAAGAGGTGAGGTTAGCCAGATAAGGCAAGGGAGACTTGGGATGGGTAGTATTTTCAATATAAAAATTTTGAACAGTTTGAGTGATGGGTCCAACCAAAGTGTGCATTTCACTGTTCTGCTCAATGGTCTAAGTAACATGAATTGTGGGTACCTCCGTAACCTGTGTTTAGTTCTATCATCCTCCTGAACTAGATGTGCTGCTTCCCAATCCATGATATAAAAGTGTGCCCTGTAGTAAACAATGCAGGTGTTGGCATCATCCATCCAGGAAGCCTATTTGTGTTCTTGAGGGCAAGTCATGAAGATCATGCCCTGTCTCCCCAGCATAAACCTTACTTCATCCCCACATGGAATATTGTAGACCCCTGCAGTAGGTCATCATCTATCTACCTCAGCCATCATGATGTGTGGAATGATATTGAACCAGTCTTTATGTGCTCAAGATAAGAAATGACCAAGATGGCACCAAGGAGTGACCCCATAGCCAAGCCATAATTTTACTTGTAGAGGTCATCCCTGAAAGAAAAGTTTAAATCTTACACAAAAGTCAACAAAGCCCATGAAATATTGTTTAGCAAAGAAGGAGACAATCAGGAATGGAGTTCCACAGAAGGAAAACAACTTAATCAATAGCAACCCAGGTGAAGAGGAAAGTGATATTCAGACCGAGGAACTTTTTATGCATGATGATCATCTAGTTCAGAATAGAGAGGTCCCTGAAGTGATGCAAGTTGCTGAAGGCACCCAAAAGTTTAGAAAAGTGTCTTTCCAGAATGCCCGCCACACAGTGGGTGGCACGGCTTGTTACATTTGATATACCTTTGATGAGTGTAAAGAGTTTTCTTACTCCCATAGTCCTGCCATAGGCCAGGCTTATATTGAGCTTGCCTGGTCAATTAGGCCTTGCTGCTGGTAGCCTATTTGTCCATATATCCATCACAGCTTGGTTGATCTGGCAGCTAGTGGAGAAAATTGTCAAGTTTTCTCTTGAAGACCTCTTCACTTGATCAAGTAGTGTTTCTGATATCCTTTGGTAAGATGTTAAAAAGTCTAGGACCACAGATGTTGAAACAATGGTCTCTAATTGCACCTTTCTTTGAGTTCATGCTACACATTCTCCCATATCTCTCACTCTAGTATGCTGTCATGGATGTGTGCAGATTTGGGACCAGACCCTCAAAGTGCCTTCCATGTATATGTTATCATGTATCTCTGCTTTCCTGACTCACAAAATCATAACAACATTACTGCAAACAAACCACAGAACAGCTGGGACTCAAAACCATGGCAGGCGAGTCCTAAAACTCACACTGCCCTGCAAGTTTTAGGGCTCGTCTGCCATAGGATCAAGCCCCACTCATTCTGTGATTTGATCATGTATCTCTCTCTCAAACCATACCACGGGTAGGGCTTGAACCCGTGGTAGAGAGTCATAAAACTCCAGATCGACACGTTAGCCATTGCGCCAGCTGGCAACAATAAGTTTGTCACGGCCACACTGGCAAGATATTCATCTGTAAAAACTTGCATTTGTAGTCACAGTGGTGCCTATGCTAATTTTCCTATAGTGTATAAATATACCAGTGGTGCCTATGCTAATTTTCCTATAGTGTATAAATATACCTAGTTGGATGAATCTTATTGCAGCCAGCTGGCCCAGTGGCTAACGCATCAGTCTGGAATTTTACAATTCTCTACCTTGGGTTCAAGCCCTGCCTGTGGTATAGTTTGTTTGCATTCGTGTCATTATGATTTTGCGAGTCATTTCTCTCCCTCTTCCACTCCAGTGAGAACATATTTAGATGCTTAGGCATTCTGAGTAATTTAAAAGCTTTATTGGTTTTATGCTGGATGGGAATGATGTATCAACCTGTTCCAGCTCTTGTACTCTCCTGCCAATCCCAGATGTAAGAGATGGAAGAGAAAAGCCAGGTTTGTGTGTACAGGTTTGAGTTTAGACAGAAGGAAGTAACAAAGTTGCTTCCCTTGTGTGGTGTGAGTGAGAATCTTCTTGGATTCTTTAAGAACAAAACTGGTGTCCTTTCAAGGTGAGGAATGTTATGGTTTCATAGTGTTCTTGGTCACCCAACAGAAGGATTTTGGAGTGGTAGTCACTGTTATCAAGAATAACTATAACTCCACTCTTGTCTTCAGTGGTTATCCTGATATCACAACCCCAAGACTAAACATTGTATCATCATAGGTTTCTTGTTTCACATCCTCAGGATTTGTGACAGTGAATTTTTGGCAAGTGAGCAGATATGTATTGAGGATGCATTTGTGCCATCTTAGAGAGTCCTCCACACATCATCAATGCCTGAAAGAGGAAAGCCCTACTAATTCACAACACTCATGAAGTACCACAGCATCAAATGTCATCTCATTCTCCCCCACAGGTAGTGACATCTATCACTACCATTTTCTGTAAAGCCAGCATGGATGTGGTGGTTGTTACTACTACAACCAAGTGAGATCACCAGACATCAAAGATCCAAAATCATGACTATTGCAACACTTTACAGCATTCCACTTGGGGGATGCAGCAAGGCTTATGCTGGGGAAACAGGGAATGCACTTCAGACTCACTTCAGGATGAATGATGCAAACAATGTGAGCATTACACATATGCACCATCCACAACAACCTACACTTTCAAGTCATGAACTGGGGAGCAGGACAGGAACTGTTTCAGAAGAACAAAATAACTACCATTCACCTTACTGAAACCACTGAGAGGAACAACAGAGAGTGCATGTTGGATGGATCCACCACTCATATCAGCCATGATTCTTGTATTAAAAATGCTACCCATCCCTGGCACCCCCCACCTTACTTCCCTGACCTAACCCCCCTGGACCTCTTTTTTTTTACCCCACCTTTGACCTTTCTCCATCTTGAATTCAGGGTGCTCATTTAGTACCTTATAATGTAGAGCATGAATGTGTTTTTTGTATGCTTGATAAAGTTCAGCCCTCAACAAACTGCTGCAGCAGTAACACAGGTTTCTCTGCAATATAGTGCCATTTTGCCCACTTGTCAGCTCATGTCATCATTTACTAACAGTGCCTTTATAAAAAGACAGCTATGGTATGAGTGATAGTAAATGTTTCCTTATTTGACTCCCCCTATCTTGGTGTGAAATGGCCAATGTAATAAAATTTCCTAGAAATTTGTTCTATAAAAACAAAGCACACAAATAAAATGATAATTACTAAATGAAGAATAAATCTGAGAGTTGTAAATCACAGAACAAAGGCAAGGGGTGGGGGGTTGGGGTGGGGTGAAGCCCTTGAATCACAGCAGGTGAATCCTAAAACTCACAGGCTAGTGTGCTTAACACAGGTCCATGTGGTTGAGCACACTGGCCTGTGAGCTTTACAACTTGCTTGCCATAGACTCCAGCACCACTTGTTCTGTGATTTATTTGTTTGCAATTATGTTATTCTGATTTCATTTGTCATGCTGGGAGCTGAATGTGGAATCACTGCTATATGGAAAAATAGATGTTCTCATTATCAGTAACATATGTACTCTGCACTAAAATGAATTTCCTTATAATGTGATATTGCATCTAATTCATTCAGAAAAACACATCAGGTGAAATAATAAGGAAAGCTTGCTAAAATACCCAATAGTGTAATTATGTCAACCTGACAAAGAAGACAAATCCATATTTACAATCATTTTCATATCTATGTTAAAACATAGCAAGTGGTGCAATCATTACATGATAACTCAGGTTCTATACAGCCAAGCATAAATGCCAAAATGCTGAAGAAGTTGGTGAAGTAAATAAGTATGTGGGCATTAAGTGGTTCATATCAAGCTGCTCATTTTTACCAGATAAGAAAGCATAAGAGCTATTTGAAGAGTATTAAACCCACCTGGTGGCAGGCACTGTACATAAAACTTCAAAGCTGCATTTTCAGCACCCATCCTAAACATTCTATTGTTTCTCCGAATAACAAAAGCCGCAAATAAACACTTGTGAAATAAAAATAAAAACCAACCTGTGGTAGGAGATCAGGAAGAACAGAAGAAGTGCGTGAACCAGGGGTACTCATCCCTGATGAGGGCTCGGCACCACGAGAACGGTCCTGTTGCTGGAGAGTACATTTTAAGTCTTAATGTCTACTTAAAAAACTTTTTCAATTACTTTTCCATTTAAGTAGACAACAAAAATAATTATGGGGAAAAGCAAATGTTTTTAGCATAAAGAAATCTCACACTGTACTTCAAAGCACTCCTTACCAGCAATAGCGAGTTACACAAAATATAAAATTATCTGCTTCCTAATAAAGCATGTTTCAGTGTTCAGCTGGTAACACTTATGGGGGTTGGGGGTTGGGTTGGGGGGGGGAGTCTCACAGTTCATCACCTTCCAGAGCCATATACATCTCCCAGAGCATCCACCTTCAAACAAGTTATATGGCCAAAATTTTGAGGGAAGAAATAATGCTCTACATGAACTTAAGGAATCGTAGTATAACTATGGGGTATTTACATAAAAAGAAATTATGAAATACACTTTCACCAATAAGCCATGAGATTTAGGGATATACAAGTATAGTAACTGATAGTGTGCATGGAAGTGGAGAAGACATAAAAGGTAACTGGAGGTATGTGCAAAATATTAGTTCTATAACAGAGAACCAGATACAAAAATATTCCACTCGCTGTGGAGAGAAAACTGTACACAAAGAGTGCGCGCCATTGACCAGATGTTACAGTAAACCTTCCATATGACACACCACCATTTAACAGACTTCGGAAATATGGAACAAAATCCACTGGGTGAATCAATTTGGAAACAGTGGACGAAAGTCAGTTGGTTACAAAATTATCCATAAGTGTTAAAATCAAGCCAATTTCTTTTCTATCTATTACGAATGCATTTCTGGCCACCCGCTACCTTAATAAGTCATTTATATGGAGGGTCTACTATACATATCAGCCCAAGAGTTATGCTATGTATCATAGAAGTATCCGAGTCTCAAATAAGTGAAAGTGGAAGTCATTTTGTTCACAAACTAAAAATGGCATTATCAGACTATGAAAGGTATGAGTGAATGAAGGCATTATTTTAGTAGAGCTTAAGTGTTGAAAAAACTAAAAAGTGTCAACTGTAAACAGATTATGAGTAACATACAAAACAGTGCCCTGCTTTAAGGCTGTTTGCCTTATGGCATTTCGCTAATACGTAAGAACATTTCAAATTATGACCAAAACTCGCTATACAGCTCCCCCCCCACCTGACTTTCTTATATGGTCACCGCATGCCACATGGTTTATTTACATTCTCTGTGAGCTCCATGTCTCTCCATTTTGTCTAGAAACTTTCCAAAATTTCAAGTGTTTTAAAGTTATTGTGTATTTTATACATACTCCAATAATTATACAGTGGAACCTGGTAATGAAAAGACCAAAACCCGATTTATAGACAATGCTGGGAACCATACTGGATGTGCATATATGGAGCACTGATATGGAGGTGGCAGGGTAGGAAACTAAGGCCTCCCCCATAAAAGACAATGGCCCCACCCACAGGCAGACTGCCTAGCACTCACTACATAGGGAAAAATCCCCACCGTCCAGCTTGTGGCGCTGAAATTTTTTCCCTACTGAGAAGCAGAACTGTTTAAAATGAATTTTACGAAATGTAAAACAAAAATATGCTGCAATTTGACAATAGCGTAATGGAGAAAATGTTTTACAGGAAACCGTCTTAAATGATGGTTTACTGTATATGGCATTTGTATGCATTTATAAGTACTAAAAATGGTGTTCCTGCTGTATACATGGGCTCCTATTGTACTGCAGTTTAGCACGGTAACGAACATTCTAGTGGAATAAGCTACTATTTAGACTAGAGGAAGCAGGGCTTATGAAGTCAAATTTTGTGTACACAGCATCTATAACTCAGAAAATTTGATAAGGATGAGACAATTCTATTGGTTTGTATGTTATATTTAACTATAGCCTACTCTGTATTAGATAAAAAAAAAAAAAAGGCTGTTGTGCTGGCAAAAGGTTATATCATTAAGATATCCACATGTCTTATCCATCAAACTATCAGTGTTATATACAGTGTACCTTTAATGCACTGAAACAGAAAACAATGAGTTACCCAGGGTGAACTTGTAAAGATCAGCCATCACTAATCTAGCATCATCAGGACATGTAGGATGCCAGATTAGTGACTGCCGGATTACAGAGTGGTTAGGTTAGAATACACTTAACCCAAAGGCAATATCACCCAATTTATGCCATATTTTTGACCCATTCCATTGTTCCAGTCTACCAAACTTATAGCTATTTTGCTAGTATTCCTTCGGTAGTGCTGTTTAAATTCAGCAAGGTTTATACAGGTCTCTTTCAACATTTGCGAGGGTTAGGGGATCAAGAACCTCGCAAATGTTGAAAAACCGCGAATGTTTGGTGGCTCAATATATTGTATTAAAATATAATACTGCTTCCTTAACCTATTGAACCATGAACAATCATAAAACACATGAAAACATCATAGAATATTGTACTAGTGCCAGCCCTTTGGCAAAGGTGAGAAAAATTATAGAATTCAAGAAAGAACTCGTAGCAGAGTGCCAAACTGGAGGCGGAAGAAAAAGGGGAGAATGTGCCTTCTTCAGTGATTCTACGATATGTATGATACTAAAGCAGCACAAGTTGATAAAGACTTTAGCGCCAGCCAGCGATAAAGTGTAGCATTAACAGTGTAGCACGTAAGTTAAGAGATTAATCAACAGAAAAAGGACAGAATGAACCTAACTCCTTCAATGTTGTTGGAGTTATACAGGGCGACTGACAACACCACCGTCTCTAGTCTCTAATGCCTCTGATGCCGCCCCCACCACCATGTACAGCTCATGTCTCAGTGGCCTTTAAACACCCAACAACAACAACACAGCAACACTCGTGACATACTTAATGACGTATTTTATTCATTCTAGAGTACATGTCATGTTTCTATGTTATTAATATTGTTTATTATGTCATATTAGACGAATTGTGATAGATAAACAAGCCGTAGAGTTGATATTAGTGTCATATTGAAGGCCTATCTTGTTCTATCTCCAAACAAACTGCCACCACCACAATTCCTAAGATATGTAATGACACATTTTAAATATGATTGGGCAGCTGGGAATTCGCGAATGTTTGAAGCCCGCAAAAAAGGAAAATGCAAATGTTAAGGGAGACCTGGATAATGTTGCACTGAACCTTTGCTTCAGTGCAACTCTTGCAAGAACAGATCTTGCAAGGGTTCTTGCAAGATCTGTTCTTGTTTCTGGTTTGTTATACAAAATGGCTAGCTGGTTTATTGTGTGTTAAAACCCATCGACTACATGACAGTCTTTAAGGACCCCAATGGAAATAAGTCACTGACTTTTTTGGGTTATCCTAGGTTCTCTGTATGTATGTTGCTATGTATGATAATCTATGTAACTGTATTTGTGTATACTTGAATAAACTTATTTCTATTCTGTCAAAAGAGTACAAGAAACAGCCCATTCACCTATTTCAACTACCCAAAAAAAAAGTGGGCAGAAATTGGCAATTTGACCAATATCTCAAAATTTCAAAAGATGGCACTTTCAAAATAGGGTCCAGAATAAACAATGCAGACATTCCTGGCACTAAAATAACATTTTCTCTCTTCATTAGTCACATCTCTAGGCCCCTCTTATATAACTCTTGCTTTCCATTTTGAATTTTTATTCACACAAAAAATAGAAGACTTACTGTTATGCAGACTACTGCATTACTGTAATAATTGTATAAATAATGTCAACCTATTCGTGACTGCGTACTAGACTGACCAATTGGATATGTAATGGACAGCGACACCATTTGTTTACTTTTGAACATCGGCAAAGTATCAAACATTTCTGCTACTTTTCGCTGTGAAACCAATCAAAATTAGATCTATTTCTGTAATATATCTTCCATTCTACTGAATGAAACCAAAAAACGAGAATACAACCACAAAAACCACATGAAAATATACCACTAAGGGGCGGCCAATGACTGAGAAGCGAACTCCTTTATCAATCGTCTGATTTCTTTCATTTTTGGTGTACGTTAAGAAGCATCTTTCCATCATACATTGCCCAAGTTTCAATAAGATAGCCCAACAAACAACAAATACAGTTACATAGATTATTATACATAGTAGCTTGTGTAGAGAACCTAGGATAACCCGAAAAAGTAAAAGTGACTTTTTTTTCCATTGGGTCTTTTTATGGGGTTCTGTTACGTTGTCTGTGAAATTCATTGCATTCCTATCATTACTAATGCTGCTATATAAAGATATAAATGAATAACTTACTTCTAAGATAATCAATGAAAATGAGTGTACAGTGGAACCTCGGTTTTCTTCTGGTCTGGTTATTGTACAATTCAGTTTTTGACCACTTTTTTCGGCGAAATTTTCCCCGTTTTTGTACATCCACTTGGAAATCGTCCATAGCAGACGCATCCTCCTGCCCACGGGACGCGGCCGCTCATACGTTCGTCACTCAGTCTCCCTTTGTTACTCGTTCAGTGAGCATTGCTCTGAGCATTCATCCCAAACATTTCGTAATAATTCATTGTTTTTTGTGCTCACGACATTCTGTGGCCAGAATGTGTCCTCCAGAAGGATTTAAGAGTTGAAGGGTTTGAGGCTGACACTGACAACCCTGCACCTGTTGTGGTATCTATTGTGTCTTTGGGGAAGTCCATGGGATTGGATGTGAGTGGCCAGGATGTGGAAGAGTTGGTGGACGACCACAGGGAAGAGCTAACCACTGAAGAGCTGCAAGACCTTCAACTGGAAAACCAACAGACTGCAGCTGAGGAAACTGCTTCAGAGTTGAAGGAAGAGAGAGGGGAGAATGTGCCTTCTTCAGTGATTAAGGACATGTGTGCAAAGTGGAGCGAGTTGTAAAGTTTTGTGGAGAAATATCACCCTAACAAAGCTGTTGCAAGCTGTGTCTGCAACATGTTCAATGACAATATGTCTTGTATCATTTTAGGCAAATCTTAGAGATGCCAGAAACAGGCCTCTCTGGACAGATTTTTTGTGCAACAGGGGTCCAGTAAC